CCTAAGAAGACATCTTTATAAAACCTTTTGGACATTTCGTGAGCCATTTTCTTATTCTTTTTGTCTGTTTGAATCACTACACAGAAAACAGCTTTAAAGCTCCGAATACGTTACCTAAACTATTAAACAGCTTTAAAGCTCCGAATACGTTACCTAAACTATTAAACAGCTTTAAAGCTCCGAATACGTTACCTAAACTATTAAACAGCTTCAAAGCTTCGAATATGTTACCTAAACTGTTAAACAGCTTTAAAGCTCCGAATACGTTACCTAAACTATTAAACAGCTTTAGAGCTTCGAATATCTGGTTAATAGTTTAGGTAACGTATTCGGAGCTTTAAAGCAGTTAATAGTTTAGGTAACGTATTCGGAGCTTTAAAGCTGTTTAATAGCTTAGGTAACTTTAAAGCCGGTTAATAGTTTAGGTAACGTATTCGGAGCTTTAAAGCTGGTTAATAGTTTAGGTAACGTATTCGGAGCTTTAAAGCTGTTTAATAGTTTAGGTAACGTATTCGGAGCTTTAAAGCTGTTTAATAGTTTAGGTAACGTATTCGGAGCTTTAAAGCTGTTTAATAGTTTAGGTAACGTATTCGGAGCTTTAAAGGCTCCGAATACGTTACCTAAGCTATTAAACATCTTTAAAGCTCCGAATACGTTACCTAAGCTATTAAACTGCTTTAAAGCTCCGAATACGTTACCTTAGCTATTAAACAGCTTTAAAGCTCCGAATACGTTACCTAAGCTATTAAACGTCCACCTAATATGTTTTTGTAAATAATATATTTCTAGTCGCCTACAAGCTTCTATTCAGTAACTTCAGGTGGATAGATAAATAGATAGACAGAGAAGTAAATAGATTAAAACTAAGCTAAGAATGTTGTTAGTAAAGATCTAAGTTTGTCAGACATTGTGATAAGATATTCTTAATGTACGATTCAGATCTGTTCTACATTCGTTTTAAGACATGATTAAACTGTCGTAACCATGTGTGTGAAGTTTCTAAGTGCAGGAGATTCTAAATGACGGTGGTCTATAGTGTGGCATTACGTCGTGAGGTTAAGAGAGGCCAACTCGTAAGCTTATTTATATTATATTATCTATTGGCTGATATTTTATTAATGTTAATCTAAATAAAACTTTTTATTTGTATAAAAGTTAGTCACACCCGATTTAAACCACCTGTCACCCTCCAACCAACGATATCAATCTCTTTTTTTTTCCTGGTTTGGTTAGTTTGCAATCATGAAGCAATAAAATGCAACTCACTTTTCAATGTGAATTAACTTTCACAAGTAATTAATTGTACTATCATTGTTATTATCACAAAGTTTTTATGCCTGCGGTTACAAATGTCGTATTCCTTGTGACTAACATTCTAATTGACAACTGTAGATTCTGAGAAAAAACAACGATCCAAGTTATTATCATTCATAACTTCCACTCACGATCGTTGCCAGGTAATGACACGATAACTGTTGGCGGGCTATTTGCCCAAAGTTTGCGTGTCTCATTTTGATGAGAATGACTTGTACTCACCTGCCTGGGGTTGAAGCTTAGCTTCGTGCGCCTCGTGATCACGCGGTTAACTGAGGGCCATTCCTACGTGTTCTTTCCCGCCGCACATACCCAATTACGCAGCTTTGGCGCCACATTCATCATGCTGCTTAGTCAAACTCTGAGATATAGCAGCTAAAGGACTCTTCGGGGTAACCTTTATTCTACTCAGACATAAAGATTAGGAGTAAAATTAATGGGGAACTTCTACCTTTCTGGGGTGATGTTTTTACAGAAAACGAGTAATATAAAAAACTGGCTTTTCTGGCTGGGGGAATAAATTGTTGAACTAATTTTATTCCACACAAAAACATCATGTTCTTTGGTTTTACGTCAGAGTTTTAAATTCATGGTTTTAATTACATCATCTTCAACTTTAGTTAGTTAGCCCTTACAGCGTCAAATCTAAGACAAGTGTGACAGAAATAAATTATTATTTTTAAATTAGATAAATTACTAATCTCTTAAACCCATCCAAGTCAAATAGAGTTTTAGCTTTAAACTTCAATTATTCAAAAAAATGTTTAAGTTTTTTTTTCTTATTTCAAGAACCCTAGATTTCCAGCGTTTAGGGCGAACAAGGATAATGTTGAAGCAGCTGAGAAGCTGGGGTTATTGAACTGCAGAAAAATCAATAGGACCGTTCTTTCAGCTGGAAAACGCCATTTGTCTGCATTATAAGGCGCATGTGTAGACGTTCGCATGTCCAATCAGCGTATCGTAATAAACCATGTAGACACCAATGAAAAATTATTCTGTATTCTCTCGATCCCCTGAAATTTACATTTTCTGATATGATTACGATACAGAAGCTATTGAGTAAAACGTGGAATTATTATGATCAAGCTGGTAACCAGAGATTTCTTTAAAAATAAAGTTTTCGCGGATAATTATCATTTCAGGAAATATTCTTCCTATAAATATTTAAACAAGATTATATCAGAATGGAAGGTCTAATTGAAGTTACATAAATGTACTGCTAAAACTTATATTTCTACTGCTAAACTTATATTTCTACTGCTAAAACTTATATTTCTACTGCTAAAACTTATATTTCTACTGCTGAAACTTATATTTTTACTGCTAAAACTTATATTTCTACTGCTAAAACTTATATTTCTACTGCTAAGAAATATAAGTTTCTCGACGACATCAGAATGTCTTTAGTTTTTCACATTTTAATACATTTTTTTCAAGCTTCAACGATTTTAATCACAACGACGTGCTAAAGGACCACCGTGACTTACAATATATATGATCAGTATTACGATTATTAGGAAAGTGTACATTATTTCTTCGCTAATTAAATAGTTATGTTATTAGACATTGAGATACCATGGTGTTTTGGAATGTAAATAAAGTGGCGCGTGCATGTGAAAAGATGTGCTCAAACACTTTATTAACAAAATGTTTCGATCTTGTAACATTGATCTATTGGAAATGTTTGGAGAATTTCATCTTTAACATATAATAAATAAATTGATAAATATAAAGTTTATTTAAAAGAGTCAGAAAAGCAAATGAAGTTTTAAATAGAATATTTTAATATATTATGTAGATTTCAAAAATCTAATGTAATAATAAAGACAGTTTCCTCTAATGTTAGCTACTTAACTAAGTCGGTGATAGAAATAACGAATAATAAAGGTTATATATACCTCACGAAATATTTACGAAGTATGATTTGTGTTTACGATTCTAACTTCAGAATGAATCAGTTATTCACAATGTTTCAGCGATTTAATATTTCGAGGCCTTTGCAAATAAGCTGTCACTTTTACTTCGCTTCTCAGACACAGTAAACTCAAGTACATTAGAAGAATACTCTTGTTCAAACTCAAGTACGTTAGAAAAATAATACACTACTTATAAACACAAATAGAGTAGAAAAATACACTGTCTCTAAACTCAATTACATTAAAAAATACACGGTCTCTAAACTCAAGTACATTAGAAAAATACATTGTTTATACATTCAAATTCATTAGAAAAATACATTGTTTCTACAATCAAATACATTAGAAAAATACACTATCTCCAAACTCAAAACATTAGAATAATACACTGTCTCTAAACACAAATACATTAGAATAACACACTGTCTCTAAACTCAAATACATTAGAATAACACAGTGTCTTTAAACTCAAGTACATTAGAATAACACACTGTCTCTAAACTCAAATACATTAGAATAATACATTGTCTCTAAACTCAAGTACATTAAAATAACACACTGTCTCTAAACTCAAGTACATTAGAATAATACATTGTCTTTAAACTCAAATACATTAGAATAACACACTGTCTCTAAACTCAAATACATTAGAAAAATACATTGTCTCTAAACTCAAGAACATTAGAATAATACATTGTCTTTAAACTCAAGTACATTAGAATAACACACTGTCTCTAAACTCAAGTACATTAGAATAATACATTGTCTTTAAACTCAAGTACATTAGAATAACACACTGTCTCTAAACTCAAATACATTAGAAAAATACATTGTCTTTAAACTCAAGTACATTAGAATAACACACTGTCTCTAAACTCAAGTACATTAGAAGAATACACTGTCTTTAAACTCAAGTATATTAGAATAATACATTGTCTTTAAACTCAAGTACATTAGGTCAAATTGTTTTCAAACCTTTATCGAGGTCCAGTATTTTTCTCATTATTTCCATCACCACAGTTTATAGTGCTTTATAATTTAATTAACAGTTTCCCTGTTCTTACTTTGGTGGTATTAGTCTTATTACTGAAGTCATTTGTTGTTTCCTTAGATATTACATGTTTATTTACAAAACATTATTTTTCTTGCAGGTTTCAATACTGATGGTTAATCGTTTGAACATTATATTTCTAAGAAACTGAGAAGGTCCTTACAAAGGTTTGTTTCAATAATATAGAACACGAAAACATTGTAGTAATTATTCAGTTTCTCATCTGTAAAACATCCGTACTCTTTCAGTAATATCATACGAAGACTTTCTTCTACACAGTTTCAAGTTTACTATTTGTAAGATTTGGTCTAATTGTTTAGCAATAAACATTATAACTATGGTACAGATCTCACAAACTTTACATTATACAGTAGTCTTTACGTCCAAATGCAACGAATTGGTTCTGAGAATAAAACATACACATATCACCCTTATCAAAATGAAGTGAGAGGATAAAGATAAACATGGACTAGTTTAAAATTATATATATATAACTTTATATATATATTAGTAAAGAAACATTGTCAATACAGACGTTTACCTATACAATGACTTTGAAACGTGAAATAATTCAGGATATTCACTCACGACTTGTGATTGCAATAAGCGTTGAAAGTGGTACCAGTATTTTTCATAATATTTAATTATATCCGTCATAACACATTATTATATATTTAACACTACATACCGCCATATTCATCATAACGATTATAATGTGGTTGAAATACTATTATTATACACTCTTCTAACTCTTGAAAACTCCTAAGGCCCTATATTAGGAATTTAATGCTAAAACTACAATAGGCCTAACATAATATCTTATAACTAATATAATAAATTATATCCTGTTTCTCCAACAATTCATGTAACTAAATTGATCATGACCGAAAAACGAAGAAACATATTACTCTTTTTTTCATGTACACTTCATAATTATTAGGATTTGAATGTAAAACATGATAATTATGTTCATCATGATGTTTAATTTAAATAAAAAGTGCTTTCAAATCAGCAGTGAGACAACAGCACTTCTCCATATTCCAAATTAAGCACTCCGTATTAATATAAAGCACACTTTCTTTTCTTTACTACCAACAGGAATATAAAACTTTAATCTTTCCGTTAAAATCTACGAACAGAATAGTAAGAAACAATGAAAGCTACTGATCTAACATATTCCAAAGATTTAGAAAAGAATATTAAGTATGGAAGGAAGAATTTTGATCATTTAATAATCAAAACAACTCAGGCATCATCAATGTTTGTTAAGTTACAAATTTGTTGAGTACATTCACTGTTTATTACTGTTTTAGTAGACCTTTGATAAAAGTTTTGATATAGGTAATTGTGCGTAACGAGCAAAATGTTTCAAAATTATTTGCTATTCATTCAGTAAATGATTTAGGCAATTGAAGACTAAGCTATCACAAAAACACATTTAAATATGACTATTTAAGCATTTGAGGAAACTTTCTGAAACAAATAATATTCGAAAATGTTTAAGTTTTATTATAATTATTAAAATATTTTATTCTGACTTTAGAAAAAATAAATATATAAAAGAAAAAATTGAATGTTTGAATGCCGGATTTTATATCAGTATAAACTAAAATTCATTGAAATAAGAAAAACGCCCAAATTCTTCCCGAACTATTGTTTTTGAAAGTGCTTTTTTCTATAAATTATGGTTTTTCTGTTCGAAAACTGTAATTGGAGTAAAACATAATTATGTTACGGTATTGAACGACAAAAGCTAACACCACAGTGGTAACCTATAAGTTATATATTCGTAATAAAATTCACGCTTGCTTGCACATTTTATTTTTTCGCGTTCCTCTTAATTTGGCCAAATCATATTTGAAATCAGAGGTTTGTAAAAATGTTATTTTTTTTGTTTCCCACAAGTCACTTCACAAGATTCTAAGAGACAATGGAAAAGAACACGTGCAACCAAGCGTGATTTTTACCACAAATACTAAGTACAGTTGTGTTTACGATTAAAACACATACTTTTGTTTAAGATATCATTTGAACCAGCTGTTAGGTTTAGGCTTTCTTTATTGGTATCTGTTTATAGCTGATCTATTTTATTCAATAATTAGATCTTCGTAATCTTATATAGCAATATTACTAACTTTTTGTACGCCTAAAAATTCATAAAACATACTTGTGTAAAATAACTTTTGAGTAATTATCCATGTCTTGTGAAAACTTCTACAGAGAATTTAGATAGTGTGCTGAAAATTTAAGTTAATCCATGCAGTTCTTCGGTATGAAAAATATCGACAACTTGGAGTGATAAATGTTGTAATTATATTGAGTTAACAATGTTTATTTGTTTGTTTCATGAAACGTTCTCTCTAGAACTTTAACTTTATTCTCTGCATCAGATATGTTTGTTATTCGTATTTATTTGTCGTTAATTAAGCTGATGAGCAACCAAAACCATTAGAAAGTTCTCCTTGATGTGACTTCCGTAACATAATATGAAATGTTTAGAAAATTTACATTAAGTAAATCAGATTCATGGGACTTTGTAGAATATTATATTGTTTCTATTTACTCTCAAAGTATCAATAACTCTTTATGAGTAGTTACTATATTTTAAACAATGGTCTTCTTAATATATCAATAATGATATAGATTATTGTTTGGTAACATTTAAAACAAAGTATCAATAATTCTTTATCAGTAGTTACTATATTTTAAACAATGGTCTTCTCAATATATCAATAATGATATAAACTATTGTTTGGTAACATTTAAAACAAAGTATCGATAATTCTTTGTTAAATAAAGGTCTTCTCAAGATATCAATAATGATATAAACTATTGTTTGGTAACATTTAAAACAAAGTATCAATAATTCTTTATGAGTAGTTACTATATTTTAAACAATGGTCTTCTCAAGATATCAATAATGATATACACTATTGTTTGGTAACATTTAAAACAAAGTATAAATAATTATTTTTTAAATAAAGGTCTTCTCAAGATATCAATAATGATATAAACTATTGTTTGGTAGCATTTAAAACAAAGTATCAATAATTCTTTGTTAAATAAAGGTCTTCTCAAGATATCAATACTGATATAAACTATTGTTTGGTAGCATTTAAAACAAAGTATCAATAATTCTTTGTTAAATAAAGGTCTTCTCAAGATATCAATACTGATATAAACTATTGTTTGGTAGCATTTAAACAATTAAAAGTGACATTTTCTAATGTATTGTATCAGTGACCAAAATTGTCAATGTTCTTTAGTTTACTGACGTACAATAAATTAGAAACAAAACTTCACATCCTTCTCTTCTAAAAATGTAAAGTTCATAATGAAATAATAATAATTAATAATTTATTAATAATGAAATAATAATAATGTCATTTATTAACCATTTATTGAGTCTAAGACAAAATGTTTGAACACATAATGTAAAACCAAAATTAAAGTTAACATCTGAAAACTTTGCACATAAAATGGATCTCGTGGATGTCTCGTTTCTATATGTTAAAATGCTATAATGTTTTGTTTCTGATCACGTTAATTCAGAGTTCTGATGTATAAAAATCAATTATCAGCAAGATCACTCTTCTAAAGATCAACAAAATTTACAATAAAGAATGTCATTTAAGTTAGGTAAAAAGAAAGTTTGTGTATTAATCTTTCTTATTTTACTAAATAGACATGCTCATTTACAAAAGTTTAACAATGAAAAACTTTTATTTATATTGTTATAACTATAAACATCTTTGAACCTCCACTCTTACTTAGACTAAGTTAATTCATAAAAAAATCTTCAAACGAATTTTCTGGTTGTGAGAGGTTTCCACTATATATATAATAAATCCCGTAATGTATCCCATGCTCTCACTAATATATCGTATCTTTTAACGTGGGCTATCTGGCCACCGCGGGGTGTTAGCGTTGTATGTCCGTAAACTTACGGCTGACCTACCTGGGGACATCATGTCTTCAAGAAATGAAACATTTATGTTCCAAACTTAATGACCTATCATTCGACTTTATAAGAGGTGTCGTGCGATAAGAGAGAACTGAGCAAAAAATATGTATACATTTTCAACTGTCGGAGCTCCCACTATTGCTAAAATTTAACGATTTCCTTTAAAAGACTATAATGTTTTCATGAGAGTTAAGATGTTAAACAGACGTCTTTTACTTTTGTAATTTTTTATGTTTATCTACGTAAGTCAAGATTTTTATTTAACCATACAACACTGATTGACTTTCACTTCCTATTCTGATATACTGTATAAAGTCTCGTACCACAAGAAACGTGAACATTATGCTTCTAAAAGTTATTAACATATTGACGATCCTTAGCTATAATTAACCTATTGACGATCCTTAGCTATTATTAACCTATTGACGATCCTTAGCTATAATTAACCTATTGACGATCCTTAGTTATCATTAACATATTGACGATCCTTAGCTATTATTAACCTATTGACGATCCTTAGCTATAATTAACCTATTGACGATCCTTAGCTATTATTTACCTATTGACGATCCTTAGCTATTATTTACCTATTGACGATCCTTAGCTATAATTAACCTATTGACGATCCTTAGCTATTATTAACCTATTGACGATCCTTAGCTATAATTAACCTATTGACGATCCTTAGCTATTATTAACCTATTGACGATCCTTAGCTATTATTTACCTATTGACGATATTTAGTTATTATTAACATATTGACGATCTTTAGTTATTATTAACCTGTTGACGATCCTTAGCTATAATTAACCTATTGACGATCCTTAGCTATTATTTACCTATTGACGATCCTTAGCTATTATTAACATATTGACGATCCTTAGCTATAATTAACCTGTTGACGATCCTTAGCTATAATTAACCTATTGACGATCCTTAGCTATTATTTACCTATTGACGATACGTAGTTTTGTTCTGTTCTATCAACTCGTTAGTTAAAAATCTTCAGTCAGTAACGTTTAGAACCTTTAAGCTCTCACTAGGTTGACTCTATCTGATAGAAACATGAAAACTGATACATATGAATTTGAATTGTACATCATCATGTTTACAAACATTTCATGTCGTACAACAACTACTAACAACGTTATTATTTGTTACTGTAAACAAACGTTAGTACATATGTATTCACAAAAGTGTATATTATAAGAAATATTTCTAAAGTTATAAACAAAATGTGAGTAAGTTAGCTATTTATGTTCACTGCTGCTAATTTTCCGTTATAATTTGTTTACATCCTTTTTTTTCTATCTCTCGTTTTCGACTTCTTGAAAGCTGTTTTAAGAGAACTAACTACGTAAAAATATTTTCGGTCAGATATTTTTAGCAGATAGACCTCTAATGGAAGATTTTTAATGATTGTTTTTTATCTGAGTCGAAATATGATTTAGTTGTGGTAAAAGAAAAATATATCAGGAAGACAAAAATAAACTTAGAATAAAGAGGAGAAAATCTGTGTTAGTGATAGTATTTACAATTAAGGAGTATTATCCTCAGAGATCACGTGTTTATAACTATGTGTGTCTTGTAGTATAGTTAGTAACTGTATTATCCTCGGAGATCACGTGTTTATAACTATGTGTGTTGTAGTATAGTTAATAACTGTATTATCCTCGGAGATCACGTGTATATAACTATGTGTGTCTTAAAGTGTAATTAATAACTGTGTTATCCTCGGAGATCACGTGTTTATAACTCTGTTAGTCTTATAGTGTAGTTAATAACTGTGCTATCCTCGGAGATCACGTGTTTATAACTTTGTGAGTCTTATAGTGTAGTTAGTAGCTAGTGTAGTTAATAACTGTGTTATCCTCGGAGATCACGTGTTTATAACTCTGTGAGTCTTATAGTGTAGTTAATAACTGTGTTATCCTCGGAGATCACGTGTTTATAACTCTGTGTCTCTTGTAGTGTAGTTAATAACTGTGTTATCCTCGGAGATCACGTGTTTATAACTCTGTGAGTCTTATAGTGTAGTTAATAACTGTGTTATCCTCGGAGATCACGTGTTTATAACTTTGTGAGTCTTATAGTGTAGTTAATAACTGTGTTATCCTCGGAGATCACGTGTTTATAACTCTGTGTGTCTTGTAGTATAGTTAATAACTGCATTATCCTCGGAGATCGCGTGTTTATAACTCTGTGTCTCTTAAAGTGTAGTTAATAAGTGTGTTATCCTCGGAGATCACGTGTTTATAACTATGTGTGTCTTAAGACACACAGAGTTATAAACACGTGATCTCCGAGGATAACACAGTTATTAACTACACTTTAAGAGACACAGAGTTATAAACACGTGATCTCCGAGGATAACACAGTTATTAACTACACTTTAAGAGACACAGAGTTATAAACACGTGATCTCCGAGGATAATTGCCTTTAATATGAACCAAAGGAGTCAAGTTGTTTTGTGAACCCACCCATTATCTCTCCTATTTTCAAGAACACTATAGAAAGTAAATGGATTATTTCAACCATAAAAGCTGAACGACTAGGAGTCCTTATTAATTATGTATACAATTTGTATATTCAATAATTACATTTAGAAAATACCATTAAAATTATCTGCTTCACAACCCCCAAAAGGACAAAGTATACCATTTTATGTAAATTTCATCAACACTGACTGTTTATTTCTGGAGTGGATAAAACAGGTTTAATTTTAGAGCACAAAAATTAATATACTAACTCCCACTGAAATACTTCTTCATAAAAACAGCTCCGTCATCAAAGCATTGTTCTATCAGTTACACGGATGAACATATTTTAAACTAAATCATGATAATCACGGTTTTTCTATAATTGTATCAAAATTACAATAGATCAAAGTAACGAACTCTAACAAAAAGTAAGTCTTAGACAAAAAAAAGGGGGGGAGGACTTCGAACTCTCCAAACTGGAGGTAAGTGTAAACCTGAAATGATGTGGGCTAGGCTGCGATTTACTATTCTTTCCACCTGTCGCCCTCACTACGGCTCGTGTTCTAGAACTTTTTTCTAATAATTATTTCAGTACTTAAAGATTATTTCAATTCCTATACAAGCAGTTTATTATATACAATAAATTAAGGATATTCAGCGAATGAAAATACCATTGAATCGTTTAAAACAAAATTATTTTAATATACTGGTTACATTGTCTTTATTCACAAGTCTAGATCTCTACTGAGTGTGTAGGTTTAATCGTGTGTAACAAGTCATTAATCTTGTTAGGTTGAAGGCCACCTAGCTGCAACTGTCCTAAATCCTTCTTGTGGAACAAGGAAGCGTTTTCAGCAACCAACACGATATCACGATAAGATAAGTTTTGGAAATAAAAGTAAATTGAGAGTATACTTTTGGTTTAACTTTTTTAGTTCCTTACACCGGCAAAATTTTACGTTTGGTGATCTTGTGAGTAATAAATGTAGATAATTAGTTTTAAAAAAGTGATGTAATAAAAAAATATCCTTATTTAATATCCCATGAAGCATTGATTTATATGTTTATTTTGAAGACGTCGAAACCGTCATGTTCGCTAAACTGACTAACAGGCAAATCAGTCTGTTGTGTTACAAACATCGCCAATTAAAAACGAACATTTTCTGTATTGTAACTCTCAAAGCTGTGGTCAACACTGGTCAGTTGTTATAATAAATTAAATGATAGAACGAATACTGCCTCCGTATTAAAGGTGAATGGCCGATAACTCATCAAAGTGACAATAAATCATATTTTATATACACACTGTTGTTTCAAACAGAAAGTGTAATAAGGGATACATACTAGTAGGAACATTGATGAGAGCGAAACTGGATGATAATTAGGCTTCGTATACTTTAAAGTAAGGCCACCCACGAACATTTCAGACGACCTAAGCCTAAAGTTCTCAGTTCAAGAATACAAATGTTATACTTCGTTTTTTCTTCTGAAAAAGAACAGGCAACAAACAACTGTTCCACATCATAATACCTCGATAATGATCATAATTATCACTCACATAGGTTCTTCTTTTAACTAAACGCATTTAAACCAATCTTATTTTATACAAACTAAGTTCTCGTTACACACACTTTTATGTCTCTAAGTTTATTCAGGGATATTCAATCATCACCCGACAGTTATTCAACATGAATACTCATAAAATATATATCCACGAATGATAAACAGTTTAAGTAAGTATAACAAATATACATAATAAGAACGTGGTCGAAACTTTTGCCATGTATAATTATTTCAAAATAATGAATCGTCCACTAGTAGGTCAACGATAACTTTACGGACTTAAAACTCAAAAATCCGTGGTTCGATTCCTCGAGGTGGACTCAGCAGATAGCTCGATGTGGTTTTGCACTAAAACAACAACAGAATGAAGCTCTTTTAAACTGATTACGTTTTCTAAATTTGAAGAAATTTTCAACAGTGATTAAAATTACTTATTTTCGATATTTGCTCGACTGTCATTAACAATGAAATTTAACCATAGAATGAAGAAATATGTAGGATCATAAAAATACATTTTATAACTTAATAAAAACTCCTTCTTGTTTCTGTGATTATTTCCTTTATATTTTTTGTTCTATTTTACCGAATACAGATGTCGCTATCTATAGAATGTCAGACATGAAAGTTAATAAAAACTGGATTTTGAGAATTACAATGTGTGAAAGTACTTCTTCTTGAAGACGAACAAACGGCATTTATACTTCGAATGAAATTCTTACTCCAACACGACTGATCACCGTTTACATTAGTTTCAGATAAAATCAATTCTTACCCTCTTTACAATATCATCTAATGCTTATTGTTGTACTAAACATCTAGTAAGTAAATAATATAATGGTTATTACTTTTATAAAAACGTTTATATCTTTGTTTAAGAAATTTTGCAAAAAAAAAAAAACAGTTACAATGAGCTATCTACACATAACTTCCTTAATTTTTAAATGATATACCATAGGGAAAACACCTAGTCAACAGTACCAACCGCCAACTCAACCTATTATTGACTGACCGATTACTGGAATTTGATTTTTACTCTTATAACACACGTACAGCTACAAAGTACGGAGCATTTGTTTTTGCAACAACGGGACTTGAACTTTACATCCTCGGATTTATAGTCCTAACACGTTAACCACTACGCCAGGCTCGACCTATTCTTTATCAAGAATCTATGCACACAAACTCTAGTGCACATATTTAGTAGTGAGTTTTTAAAATGACCTCTTTATTCTACAATTCTTGTGGAAGTCAGAATAACCTCTTTATCTTACAGTCCTGTTGAAAGGCAAGGTGACCTCTATTATACAGTCCATGTGGAAAGCAAGTGACCTCTTTATTCTACATTCCTTGTAGAAGGCAAGGTGACCTCTTTATTCTACCGTCCTAGTAGAAGCCAAGTTGACCTCTAGTCTACAGTCCTAGTAGAAGGCACGGCAAACTCTTTGTTCTACATTCCTTGTGGAAGGCAATGTGACCTCTTTATTCTACCGTCCTAGTAGAAGCCAAATTGACCTCTAGTCTACCGTCCTAGTAGAAGACAAGTTGACCTCTAGTCTACAGTCCTAGTAGAAGACACGGCAAACTCTTTATTCTACATTCCTTGTGGAAGGCAATGTGACCTCTTTATTCTACCGTCCTAGTAGAAGCCAAGTTGACCTCTAGTCTACAGTTTTAGTAGAAGACAAGTTGACCTCTAGTCTACAGTCCTAGTAGAAGACAAGTTGACCTCTAGTCTACAGTCCTAGTAGAAGCCAAGTTGATCTCTAGTCTACAGTCTTAGTAGAAGACAAGTTGACCTCTAGTCTACCGTCCTAGTAGAAGACAAATTGACCTATAGTCTACAGTCCTAGTAGAAGACAAGTTGACCTCTAGTCTACAGTCCTAGTAGAAGACAAGTTGACCTCTAGTCTTCAGTCCTAGTAGAAGACAAGTTGACCTCTAGTCTACAGTCCTAGTAGAAGACAAATTGACCTCTAGTCTACAGTCCTAGTAGAAGACAAGTTGACCTCTAGTCTACAGTCCTAGTAGAAGGCACGGTAAACTCTTTATTCTACATTCTTTGTGGAAGGCAAGGAGAACCCTATACTACAGTCTTTTGGAAGGCAAAGTGACCTATATTCTACAGTTCTTGTAGAAGGCAAGGTGACCTTATTATTCTACAGCCCTTGTGGAAGACAAGGGATCTTTTTTATTCTACAGCCCTTGTGGAAGACAAGGGATCTTTTTTATTCTACAGCCCTTGTGGAAGACAAGGGATCTTTTTTATTCTACAGCCCTTGTGGAAGACAAGGGATCTTTTTTTATTCTACAGCCCTTGTGGAAGACAAGGGATCTTTTTTATTCTACAGCCCTTGTGGAAGACAAGGGATCTTTTTTATTCTACAGCCCTTGTGGGAGGGAACTTTAAAGAGTTTGTTAACGGTCATGTGCAACCTTAAATTGTTCCTCGTGCTACGAGTACACAACGAATCTTGTCATTAGCTGTTCTTAGTTATTATTGAAATTAACCACAAAATATCTTTTTAATAATTGAGCTATTCAGGTAAGAAATTTTGAAACAAAAAAGATTGAGTAGAATTAATTGGCCCATTTTACATTTATCTTAAGCCTTAATTTTGTCATGAATCGTAGTGAGAGAAAATAGTTCTAAAAATTGAAGCACAAGATTTAGAAGACTATCTTAGAATATAGACGAGTTTGTGTAAATCAACACTGGCAAGCGAACGTTTTGCTTAAACTTGCATGAGACTTTGAAAGAAATAAACGAAAACGGCTTTAGCTAATAGAATAAATTTTGACAGACAAATAGACTAATGTCATCAGGGATGTCGAACATTGAAAAGAGTCATAGAAACCAAAATGCAGAATACAGTCGACAACTCATGTATACAATTGAATAACATTTAAACTCTTGATAACGAAGTAGGAGACGTGTAGGAGTAAATAGTAGAGTTGGGAGTAACCAGTTCTGAGTATTTGATTCAGGAAGGATAACACCCACACTCTACTTATATCTGACCCAAAATAGTTCAAGGGTTTGAAGCAGCAATTACGCAGAACATGCCACGAGGACTTAGTAATAGCTTGGACTTCTAGAGAAAAGCAGAAAAGTGTTTTGGATGAAATGCTGATCGTATCTCTGAAGACAATTACGTTGAAAAATAAAGGTGTTATTTTGGATTGAGTGATTATTACAAGCTAAGAACATGTTCAACGCCTCTGCAATATGAAACACGCAAAGTTCATACCTGAAGTTTTGTGCTGAATAAGTAACACTTTGCACATCCTAAGAATTATATTAGAAAATCAATAACTTGCTTCGAAATAGGAGTTGAAATGTAGGTTTAATCTGCATCAACAAAACAAATCTCATAAATACAAAGGTAAAAGTGTTGTAGAAGACCTTTTTTTTTGAAACACATATAGAGTTCTGTAAAATGTTTTACTTACTAGGAACTTTAATCAGAATATTTCGGAACGTGATATATTAAAAGTACAAAAGACATTTTTTGAAATTAAACAGAATATTATTACACCTTGGTGGAGCTCTTCTACTGTTTGTGCTCCCCCCCCCCTCCTAGTGGCACAGCGGTATGTCTGCGGAATTACACAGCTAGAAACCGGGTTTCGATACCCGTAGTGGACAGAGCACAGATAGCCCATTGCGTAGCTTTGTGCTAAACTTCAAACAAACCAAAAATCCACTGATTGTAATTCTCACATTATAAACTACGATAAATTACTGTGTAAGTAAAAAGAAAAAATCAGTTCATTAATGATGCTATTTGACTGGGTGTTTTTTCTTCTGAAACTGGTTAGAGATCTTCAAAGTAAACAAAATTAGAAACTTTGAAAATTCAAACTTTACGACTTCGAGATGTGTGTTTACTGTTTAGTTATTCAGCTTATTATGACTACCTGTTCTTCTACGCTGATGTAATTTTAACGTTCAGAATTTTTAGAAAATCATAAACATTTCATTTTTTGTATAATATCAAATCAGCTGAACATTTTTAGAGTTTCTGTTGTTAAGTTGACAGATGATTTGGTTTTGTTTGAATCTTATTAACCGAAAACATGAGAATAAGTTATACTACATGTTTGAAACATCCAAACTAAACACAGTGGTAATGAAGTAGAACCTTCAATCCAAGATATGGATACTTTACAACACCGTAAACCTTTGCTCAGTATCCTATGACAAAAGATTTACATAATCTTTAAGAACACCTATTTCAAAACATGCAATTGGCAGAAATCAGTTTGTAATAACTGCCTAAATCTGAACACTTCAGATGGTCAAAACACCAGCGTAACATGAGGGACTTACTTTTGAGATGCTCTAAAGATGACCTCACTTAAAAACTCAGAGTCTGAAGCCAAAACTGAATTACCTTTTCATCAGATTTGGCAGACAGTTACGACTAAGAGAACTTTACGACATCCAAGTTTCAACGTCGTAAACTTTCCACCACCTAT